GAACGTGAAAGATAAGGCGAGTAAGGTGGCAGGGAATGTGAAGGTGAAGGCCGAAGGTGCTGTGGATGGGGCTAAGGATAAAAGTGGCACATGGGCAGATTGGGCCATGACAAAAGTCACCACGTAAGCAATATATCTTCGTTTTTTTCATTATATAATCAACATGTTAGATTAGGTTTAATTACAGGAATTTAATTAACACTTTGTGTTCTTTGAAAACCTTTTCTTAAAATCAGAGATTCAAGATTACTCTTAAGATTTTGATTAAGAAATTAACATTATCGTAGTAAGCTAGTTGCTAACTTCGGGTTTCTTGTTCGTGGATGGAATTGCCTTATAATATGTTCATGAACTAATAAATTTTAATTTGGATTACAATTAGGAACTCGAATAAATGGAATTATGACAAAATCTCATGTGTGGTATCTATTGGGATTCAAAATTCATGGCTTTCTTGCGTAATTGTAATAAACTCTCAAATTACAGTTTAATTTGTGCATATAATGAAATTTGATTCTCCGTAATTGTAATGATGGAATAGCATATATTAATGCATCAAGATTGTTATAATTGCGTATATTTGTGTGATCTTTGATCAAAATCATGTTTAATTTGTTAAAATAAACCATGCGTCATTGATTTGAGATCTTACTTCATTACTATTGGATGATTAAGAACTCGTACGCATTCCTAGTTCTTTTTACAACATTTTCTATACTTAGAACCTCGGTAATTAAGCAGAATAGAATCCGAAATCAGAATCATCGCTTCTGATACTTCAATCCTATTAATGATTGCTAATTGAACTACAACAAAATTAAGATTTGTTTAGGAAAAATCAAATTATATTGCAAACATCTAACAAGGATCAATTACTTGGCATCCCAATTAAGATTAGGTTGACGACTTTTATGTAGAAGATGTTATTTTAAAATTGAATTAATTTTATCAAATTATATATGAAGTGATTTATACAAAAATTTGGTAACAATTGAAACATGCAAGTAGAAGTAGGTTTTAGCAATGTTCTCCATTGGTTCATTATCATCACTTTGTCCATCTTGTAAGTTAGTTACTTGTGTCCAAATCTAATAACTAACTTTCATATATGAACATATTAGGGGTCTTCGTATGAATAAGGATGGTGTCAAAGAAGGTGCTCACAATGCAGTGGATAAAGCTAGTGATGCTGCATCAAGAAGCACAACCCAAATGAACAATGCTGCTTCTGGTATTAATCGTATTCACAGATATGCATACATACATTCATGCACATGCTTAATGCTTATATCATGTAATTAATTAATTAATCCTATCTATTTGTTTACAGAAACTTCAAAGTACGTGTCTCAAAAGACCGAAAAAGTCGGAAACTTGGCATCTGAAAAAGCAAGTCAAGCCATGGGCTGTGGTGGTGATGCTCAAGAAAATGGAGAGGTGGTTGGATTAGAAGCATACGCATACATTTCTGGACTTGCAAATGAAGCCATGAAAAGGGTTCAATCAATGACTACTGGTGCTGAAGTGATAATAGAAGAGAAAGGGAATTATGCATATGATGAAGGTTCAGATATGGCTCAAAATGCTAAAGAAACAATGAAGGATAAAGCATCTGAAGCGTACGATAATGCGGATAAAAAAATACGAATGAAAACCGATAGAGTTGTGTCAGAGGGTAAAGACAAAGCAGAAGATGCGTATAACACAGCCGCTGATGTGGCGTCTGATGTGGCGGATCGTGCAAAAGAGAAAGGTTCTGATGCTTATGATAAGAGTAAAGATAAGGCTGAGGAAGCTTATGGGGTTGCAAAAGATGCAACTAAGGAGAAAGGTAAAGAAGCATATGATGTTGCGAAGGAGAAATCATCAGATGCTCATGATGTTGCAAAGGAGACATTGAAGGAGAAGGCTATGGAAGCTTATGGTGTTGCACAGGATAAAGGTTCAGATGCTTATGATGCAGCTAAAGATAAAGCATCCGAGGGCTATGATGTAGCTAAAGACAAAGCATCCGAGGGATATGATGTAGCTAAAGATAAAGCATCTGAGGGATATGATGTAGCTAAAGAGAAACTATCTCAATCCTATGATGCAGCAAAAGATAAGATTGATGAATCTGGGATTTCAAAGGATTCAATGAAGGAGAAAGGTAAGGAAACATATGATGTTGTGAAAGAAAAAGCTTCTGATGCTGCAGAGAATGCAAAGGAAAAAGCTAAGGAAAATTATGAGGTTGCTAAGGAGAAGACATCGGATGCTGCAGCGAATCTAGGAGAGAAAATGAGGAATTAATTAATGCATACATATGAGAATTCAACATGAAGTTCTTTTGATCATTACTATGATGGCTGTCTTTGATCTCCATGAGGTTTCTTCTTTCTTGTTTTTATACTTTTGTTGGTAGAATATACATACATCATAGATTCTTGTAGCTCTTTGTTTTATAAATATATAGTTATAATACGCGATGTTAACTTCCTATTGGAAGTGTTAATAAGATGTATATATATAATAGTACATTGCCAAAGGTGGCATTTCGATATTTTCCTTTTTCGCTTAAAGGAGTATAGTTGGTATATATTTATTTTTTTGCTTTTATATCATTTGTTTCCAAACTAATATGAATTGAATATGTTGTCATGCAACTCTTTTGTTACACTAGACATGTCAGATAACTGGTTGTACAGTGTTTGGCTTGCTTTTGAAGAGTATAGTCAGACAGACAGACTGGGACCGATGTCGATGAAATAAACAATGTGGAACAGAGTGGGGAATATATACTTGCCCTTGAACTCACATATGTGCAAAATATGTAAATAACAATTCAACCTCATAATTGAAAATAACCCTAGAAGGTCTGCTCAGTCCCATCTAGTCTACTCTAGTCTAGTCTAGTCTAGTCGTATAACATGTGCAAACTTTAGTATACACAATGGAAGGAGTGTTATTATGTTCTCTTGCGAATAAAACAAGAAGCACTATGTAAAATCTCCACACGAACCAAGTTTGTTACACTAGACATGTGGGGCCGACGTCAATGCTATTCGACACTCTTGAAGTAAGGTAATTATTTTTTTGAACGTTTTTTACTGCTTTGATTTCCTATTAAAAGTCATGATACCACCCTTGGAATCGTTTAAGTTATGTTAGTGGTAGTTGTCCTTCTCCCCTTTAAAAATTAACTTAACAATGGTTTAGGGTTTCAACTTTTATTATTAAATTATATTTAGATGCTCCAAATGTTTTAATATTATTATTGTTATTATTACCATTATTAGGGCTGCAAATGGCATGCTTGGTACCTGATGGCTGATACAAGTCTTCTTGGAGCTACTTTCTCATATTATCTTCTCTAAAAGTTAAGTTTCATATATCTATATTTTGTTATATTCAATATTTAAATTGTGAAGCATATTTTGTCTTTAACCCATAGGTACAAGCTCAGAATTATATTTGTCAGAGTACCTAGAGAACCACATATATATAGCTCATAAATCATATAAATTATTGAGTTTCTGTAAACACGTATCTCCATATCTACAGCGTATCTGAGGTTTGATCGAATTCTAGAGTACATGCATTACTGTGTAGGGGACAACTCTTTAATATTATTAAAAATGGCCCCATTATTGAAGGATGCACCAGTGAAAGCTCTTTGACGAAATGTAGTACAAGAGGAAACAAGTAATAGTACTGTTAATGTTGGGGAGATATTAAGCTTCTATTATGTAGAACTTATTGGGTTTAGATCCTTAGTTCCTCTATTAAATTAATCATTTACAATAAATTGTTAGTGTTTGTGTCTTATTAGTATTACTAGTTGTGAGACGTATGTATTATATGATAGTTGTGAGACTCATGTACTATATAAGTTAATTAAAAAAAATTAGATAAAAAAGTTTAAATATTTGAGAAGTTTAAATTTATAAGAAAATAATAAATTATTAAAATTAAAATGTTTTTTTTTTATATTTTAAATTTAAACAAATAACTTAAATAAATAAACAAAAGGAATTAGTAAGCTTTAATTTGATAATTTGAGAATTTTAAAATTAGAAGGTAAATTCGTTGATAAAATTGATATCTATTTATTATTATATTTATTGTAATTATTACATTAAAATATTATGTGGAATTTATTAAAATAAAAAACCTATAAAATGAGATGTGGAAAAAAATAATTTAAAATAACCAAAAAATAACATTTGATAAATTGAATGAGAATATGATATTTGGCAAAAAAAAAAAATTTTTTTATTTATTAGAGTAATTATTGTAATTATTACATTAAAATATTATATGGAATTTACTAAAATAAAAAAACCAATAAAATGACATATGACATGTGGAAAAAAAATAATTTAAAATAACTAAAAAATAGCATTTGACAAATTGAATGAGAATGTGATATTTAGAAAAAAAAAATTATTTATTAGAGTAAAATCACATAGATATGTTTTAGGATTAGGATTAATGTCTATAAATGAGTAACAAATTATTTATTTCTGTATAAAACACTATTCATTCCAAAAAATAATGTAAGTAACGAATTAGCTGATTTCCCCCCACAAATTATCATTAAAACCATTGAAAATAATGGCATTATTTTGTGAACAATTTACTTTTTGATAGCATTTTTTTAAATTAATAGTGTTTCGTGAAAAAAAAAAGTCTGTTAGTTACTAGATTATTAGATTAACCCTATGTTCTATTGTTGGTGCCTAATACTCACTTCATGACATATTGATCAAAAGATAGAAATATTCTATGGTATATTGATCAAAAGATGAAAACATATCATAAGAATTAGTCAAACGAGACTACAATATTGATCTTAATTAAAATCTTGGGAGGCATAAATTAAAATATATGTATGTAGTGTTGCTATTGGCTATATATCGCCTAAAATCCTCTATGCAAATAATAGGTAAAGAAAAATAGGAAAAGTTTAGGTCAATTAATCTGTAGAGATCAGATCATGAGATTAATTAATTATAATCTTACGGTTGTTTCTTCTTCATGGCTTGTTTGCTGTTATGCATCCATACTTTGAACACTTGTCTTTTCAGTCCAACTTCATTGCAGAATTCTCGAATCTCTTGTTCATCTTGCTTCTGAATCTTCCACCCTATTCTTTCAGCAAAATCATGCATCTTTTCCTTTTGTTCTTCACTGAATTTTGTTCGGAATCTTTTCTTTGATGGCTGCTCCATCATGTGTCGACCGGCGTGTGTCCGGTAGATGTCAAGGTCTTCACTTGACGATTCCGTCGGTGCAACACTGTTCCCACCGAACGCCACCATGATTGGCGGCGTCTGGCGGTGGTGGTACCTGAGGTGTGGTTGTTGATGATGAGGTGGCTGCATTGTGGTAGATCGAGGTGGTGGGTTATGTATCGACATCGAAGGTACCCTTGTGGCGGATGGCTCGCCTTCCACCTCTCGTCGGTGGAAACTCCGGTGGCATTCACAGGCGGCGCATTTTAAACCTTCTGGTGTGTTTTCTTCTCCACTAGCCATAAACTCCCCACACCCATCGACAACATGTGCGCCCATGCTGGCAGCATGGTTCTTTAAGCATTCCCGATAACGAACCGCCACATCAGGCGGTGGCAGTGGCGGTGGTGGTGGCCGTGTTTCGGATACTGGTTCAGCTGGAGATGGAGCAGGATCTGGATCTGGGTCAAGCTCTCTTCTTCTTTCTCTATACGCTTCCATTTGTTCTTCTTGCAATAATCCACCATAATCGTGTCTCTGATGCAGATGAAGACGATTTTGATCTGAGCTCTCATTTCTTGTAGCGTTTGAAGAATTCAAACCTCCATAACTGAAGATGGAAGGTGATATTACCCGATTAGCTTGAGATGGGTTATTGTGATTCATACCCAAACCCTCTCTCTCTCTAGCTTCCATGTTTCTCTCTCTCTGTAAACGAATATTACTCTAAGATCTCTCTGAACTTCAAATCTAAAAGGAAAAAGATCAAATCTAGCAGAAACCAATTCAGAACCTCCCAATAACCCTATATCGCGTGAGGTGAGAAGTTAATGGAGAATAAAACTTAATAGTGCACTGAACTGTAGTAAAAAAAAAAAAAAAAGAATCTTCAACCGCTAAAGTGATGACATTTTCCCATCAAACAGGACCCCACGAAATGCAGGTTTTTAATCAGGAAGGAGAGATTTCCAGACAGAAAAGGAGATCGATAATGAATGGAGGTTGAAGAAAGTGTCTCCTAAGAACCCATCATGAAGTCATGTGGTTATAAAGAAAGCATTCAAGAAAGAAAAGAAACAAAAGATACAAAAGAAACAAAAGAAACAAAAGAAGCAGATCATGGGTCGGGTTTGGAGCTGAAAAAGTAAGAAACTTGTGAGGTTAGTGTTATCGGGTGGTCCAGTTTGCCTTGTGTTCTCCCATGGAAGAAGAAGAAGAAGAAGTTTATAAGTTTGTATGTGGTCGAATGGTAGTAGTGATGATTAAGTGTTTTTGTTGCCTTGTCTTTTCCTACATTCTCATTATCCTATTGTTAGGAATGGGTTCGAAAAAGGCAACTTTCTCCCTCACCCGAAACAACTGAATTCAGGTGGATGATTCTTTAGTGGTTTGTACATTGTGCATAGGGAGTTGTATGTTTGAAGGTGTTTAGTGGTTTTAGATTGGGAGGTAGTGAATCGATCGTCTAAATTGGGAAGGAGGGGTAAAGGGGAGGGGGTGAGGGTTGTTTTTTTTAATTAGGTGGGGTGTGGAGTTAAAGGGAAAATGATGGTCCACAATTCTCAGTCTTTTGAGGACAGGGCTATGCCAGGGCTTTGAAGGTCCGTTCTTTTGTCATCTAATGCTTCACCGCGTACACGGCCTACTTTTATTATTTATAAGCACATGTTTGTGGGTGGCTGCTAAAACAAGCAAGATATAGCAATGAATTATAGTATGGTCTTTGGATTTTGGAGCCATGTTGCCCTTAGGGTTCCTATTTGCATAGGACAAAAACTGTTGATGGATTTATAAGAGTATAGGACTCATTGTATTTTTAATGTAGTCCCTTTATATTGATAATTAATTTTTCTATTTGTTCATTATCTGAATAATTGTTTTTTCTTTTCTTTTGTATATCTGTTGGTAACAAATTTGTTGGAAGTGTTCGTATATGACAATTATAACATGATGTAACAGGTTCTATTCGGTCATAATGGTTATATATGAACAATTTTAACAAATTCATTATCTAGATGTATAAAAAAAATTATACAAATATAAACAAAACGAAGATGTAGTTATCATGATAATTCAATAACCTACCGTTCCAAAATTCAATTTTTGTACCCGTACGCACTGATCTGATGAAACTTCGAAAATCTAACATACATAAAATTCATGAAAAATTTAAAATTTTCAAACATTCCAAAACCATATATAGTTTACAAATTGCTTTCAAAATAGTTTTTTCTCTCAAAATTCATAACATAAAATATGAGAAGGTGCACGATTAAGCATTCGTCTTTCCGCGATCATCCAATGTACTTGAAACAAAATCCACAACTGTAATCCAGAAGCTTAGTGAGTTACCTCAAAATATCGATACATAACAAATAATACACATAATTGATGGGTTTTGTACATAAGAACATTCCTAAGTGCGCATACAAACCCTAATGCTCGGATCTAGGTTTCTCTATTAAACATGCTTTGAATCCAAGACTTCTAATAGCTAATTAGGTATAAGAACAACACAAAATCAGAGTTAGAATCATACCTTGAGACGCTTGTTTAATCTTCTTTTTCTTGGAGCTTTAGAGTCACAATTGTCACTCCTATAATGGCTTACAAACACCAACTAGCAAAGAGGATGATTTGAGAGAAGGGAGAGAGGAGGAATTCGGCCAGGGGCTCTCTACCTTAGATCATGTGTCGAATTCCTTATGCCATAGGGTCTATTTATACTTGTAGACTCCTTAAGGGTTACAGCTTAAACCCTAGTTGGATAAGTATTACTCAAAGCAATCCAAATCCTTCCAAGATAAAGCCTTGGACGATTTTGAGGCTTATCCTAGCCTAGAAATCGTCCAACCCTTTATCCAATAAGGATTTACAGTCTAAAGTTTAACTATCAAACAATTAACAGTTTATACCCTCTTATTTAATTAATCTCTTTAAGTCACCAAATTAATACTAATTAATTTATGACTTATATTAATCAAATAACTATATTATTATTCCTTATATTATTCTCATAATATATTAATAATATCTATTCTCTCATAATAAATCATCCTACCAAGTTGCTATGGTGAAGGCAACCCAAAAGGACCATGCACAATCGGATCAAATACTTGCCTAATATAGTTGCAGCCTTGGACACTATTCCAACAGTCTCCCACTTGGATAAGTCTAGTAACTATATGCGCAGGTACATTCCAATTTGCAATCGTAGCTCTCAAAGACGCTGTCAAACTCTGATCTAATCAATCTTGTCCTTTAGATAAGGGATCGTACAGTCCTCTGTTAGATATCATGCTGACAATACTATGGAATAGTTAGTCTAGCATTTGGTTTCTCGATATCCGATTTATTTGACATAGGACTTAATCGAACACATCAATTCAGTTCTGACCGGGCCCGACACATAAGTCAAATCAAATCATCGAGCGGCCGAGATATCGCTTTTTCCTTCAAAGGATAAAAGTTACAGATAAACTTCAACTTATATGCATTTACTTATTCATTAACCAACTACACACAACAATGCGTTTTATAACATCGAGTTAACAATGCGTTTTCGCATTATCAATGTACAATCAATTAACCAATAACAAACCATATATCTAGGTTTTAAGACTATATGATATTATCGTCTTGCGATCACCCATTAACTATCACATTCCATAAGGTGATTCCAGCAAGCGCGGGTTTGTTCCAATGCTCAAAACTAGTTCATAAGCACTCATGAACGTTGCAGCAATCTTTTGTTATGTCTAAAACCATTTAGACACTCTACATACCTATTCATGACAATCTTCATTCATACCTACTTCCAACATATGAACGATTGTGGACAATTTGAACAATTCGGTTATTCTTAATAAACTCAATTATTCTCAAAGTCAAAACATGCAAAGTGAAACAATAGTTAAACAATTAACATAAGATAGTAACATTACTTATAAATAAAACTCCTTTATTTAATCATCAAATGTTAATTACATTTATCTATTATATGTTTCTAATACTATCTAATCTAATGCTAATATCATCCTTCAGCCCAATACTCCTAGCATGCTGAAAATGCTTAACCCTACTCAGTCCCTTCGTAAGCGGATCTGCTGGGTTATCTTCTGATGATATCCTCTTCACTACGAGTTGTCCTTCTTCTACACGATGTCTAATAAAGTGATACTTTCTGTCGATATGTCGTGATCTACCATGATCTCTCGGTTCCTTGGTCAAGGCAACTGCACCTTCATTATCACAGTAAATCTCCATGGGCTCCTTTATGGCAGGCACAACTCCAAGATCACCAATGAAGTTCTTTAGCCATATTGCCTCCTTCGACGCTTCGCTCCCTGCGATGTACTCTGATTCGCACGTTGAATCAGCTACGGTTTCTTGCTTGGAGCTTTTCCAAGTTATTGCTCCTCCATTCAGGGTAAAGACCCAGCCCGACTGCGAACGGAAGTTGTCCCTGTCGGCCTGAAAACTGACGTCACTATACCCTCGCACCTTCAAGTCATCACTCCCTCCAAGGACTAAGAACCATTCCTTCGTCCTCCGAAGGTACTTAAGGATATTCTTCACCGCAACCCAATGGGATCTACCTGGATTCCCTTGATATCTACTAACCATGCTCAAAGCAAAGGCTACATCAGGGTGAGTACAAGTCATAGCATACATGATTGAGCCAACTGCGGAAGCGTATGGAACTCGGCTCATTTAAGCTATCTCAGCTTCGGTACTCGGACTTTGAGTCTTACTCAACTTGGCATTGCTTTGTATCGGTAATTCTCCCTTCTTGGAGTTTTCCATACTAAAACGTTTCAGTACCTTCTCTAAGTAAGTGTTCTGACTAAGTCCTATTAGTCTCTTACTTCTTTCTCTTACTATCCTTATTCCCAAAATATAGGAAGCCTCCGAGGTCCTTCATAGCGAAGCACTTTTCGAGCCAGGACTTAATCTCCTGCAGAGTCAGGACGTCGTTTCCTATGAGTAATATGTCATCGACATATAGAACGAGGAAGCTTACTACACTCCCACTGGCTTTGACATATACACACGATTCATCTTCGCTTCGTACAAATCCAAACTCTTTGACTTTCTCATCGAAGCAAAGATTCCATCTGCGAGACGCTTGCTTTAGTCCATAAATGGACTTCTCAAGCTTACACACTCTATTCGGATGCTTCGGATCCACAAACCCCTCTGGATGAGCCATGTAAACATCCTCAGCCAACTTCCCGTTAAGGAAAGCGGTCTTGACATCCATTTGCCAAATCTCATAATCATGAAATGCGGCAATAGCTAGCATCACTCTAATAGACTTTATCTTCGCAACTGGTGAGAAGGTCTCTTCATAGTCAACTCTGGGAGTTTGAGTAAAGCCCTTCGCAACCAATCGTGCTTTATACGTGTGTACTTTTCCATCCACGTCGGTCTTCTTCTTGAAGATCCATTTGCACCCAATGGTCTTACGTCCTGGCACATTATCAACCAAATTCCAAACTTGGTTATCATATATGGATTGGATCTCGCTATCCATTGCCTCTTTCCATTTCGCAGACTCCGGGCCTGCCATGGCCTCCTTATAGCTATTAGGTTCATCAAGGTTTATTAGTGTACTATCACTAATATACGTGTCCCCTTCGGTAGTAATATGAAAACCATACAAC